AGAGAACTTAGCCTTTTGTTACATGTGCTGTAAATCCCTATTTATTTATTTGCTGGCAACACAGATGCTTTTTTTTCTAATGTAGTGAAATGCATCACTCTCTATATTTTCTGGGTAGTGACTTCCCCAATGTAAAAAAATATAAATATCTAGCTATGTTTTGGTTTGGTCAATTTATAGTTTCATTTTTTCATCTTCAATTCTTTCTTTCATATCAATTTATGTAGACATAAGGAGTAAGGTAAAAATCTAGTCTTTTCTCCTCAGTGGTTGTCTCATTGTAGCAAATATAATAATAATCCATCATTTCCCCCATGACAAGATGCAATATTTATCATGGCATAGTTCGCATATTTATTTTAGTTCATTTCTGAACTCTGTTATCTCCATTGATCTGCCTATTGTGAAGTACTTCAATACTTTTTTAATTGCTTTAGTTTTATGATATTTTATTTTATTTTATTTTTTATATTTTATTTATTTATCTTTGGAGGGGAGGGGAAGGAGAGAGGGAGAGACACATCAATGTATGGTTGCCTTTCGTGCGTCCCCTGCTGGGAACTGGCCTGCAGGGAACTGGTCTGCAACCCAGGCATGTGCCCTGACTGGGAATCGAACCTCGATTGTCTGGTTCGGACGCCCACACTCAATCCACTGAGCTACATTAGCCAGGGCTTAGTTTTATGATATTTTAATAAATGGATAGAGGATATAATTTTCATTAGACCTTTTCATATTTTCCCTTTCTACTCTCACATAATTATTTGCCCAGATGATATTTAGATCAATTTATTTATATTACAGAAACAAATTCTGTTGGTATGTTTTTTGGTATCACATTCAGTTTATCAATTATTAATGACAAAATGGACATCTTCATTTTATAGATTCTTCTTATTAAAAAAATTAAATCTTTCATATTTATTCCTAACTTCTGTTTTCTATCCAATTTAGATTTCATAGTCTGGTATTACAATCATTCAATTGGATACTGTATTAGTTTCCTATCATTACTACAACAAATGACAACAAATTTAGTGACTTAAATAACTCAAATTTATTATCTGACATTTCTGCAGGTCGGAAGTCTGAAATGAGTCTCACTGGGCTAAAATCAATGTGTAATCAAAGTTGCAGTCCCTTCTAGAAACTCCAGAGAGAATCCATTCCCTTGCCTTTTCCAGCTGCTAGAGATTATTTTCATTCCTTGGATTGAGGTTCCTTCATCCATCTTCAAAGCTAGCAGCATAGCATCTAGTCATATCTCTGACTACAGCTGGGAAAGTTTCTCTTCCTTTAAGTACCCATGTGATTAGTTTTGGCCCTCCCAGATAATCCAGGATAGTCTCACTGTTTTAGGGACTTTAATTAATCACATCTGCAAAGTTCATTTTGGCATGTGAGGTAACATATTCACAGGTTCCAGGGACAAGGGCACTGTCATATTTGGGAGGCCATTATTATGGTTACCAGAGATATACTCTCCACTGACATGTTCCTCTCTAGTACCATTTAACTCAACTAGAAAACCCTAACTCTAGTGAGAGGAGATTTGGATTAACCAGACCTGGAGAATTTAAAGTGTAAATTAATATATTTTGCTTTATTAGTGTTCAGCTGCCAGGATGGTTATTTTGCAATTTAAATTCCTGGATACTAATATCAAATAAAACTTCTAGAATGCCCTGAAATCCTGCAACATTGCTGGCCTATCAGTTCCCCTTTCTTGTACTCATCTTTTTCCTCAAACCTCCAGTACCTCCAGTCCATTCTCAATCCTAGCATATGGGGTTGCTTACTATTTCATTGAGTAGAGAGACAGTCTGGAGTGAAATTACACATGCTCTTCCACCATCTTCTAATTTACTTGCATCTGGACCCATATAACTGATGTGCATCTATTACTGTAGTTCAGAGGAAGTCAAAGTCTCTATTTGTGCTCTGGACCTCACCCCTGTAGTCCACTGTAGAAATCACCTCAGTAATTTCCTAATGTTCCCCCCAATCTCCTATTCTTTCTCCTCTATGGTGAATCTAAGAAGCTGATGAATATGTTATAATTATTCATCTAAGCCCTGCAGGCACCAGTCTCATAGAAGGAGAGGGTTCTCCAAACAGTTACCCATGAATAAATTCCTCTGATCATTCCAAAGTGACAAAGAGCAGAAATGTGAGCCTGAGTATGCTTCTGTTTCTATTATGCCCATTGTCTTATTAGGCCTCGTATCATTTCTTTAGGTTCTAGGCCCACTATAGTTATTTTCCTCAGTGAATAATTCACACAGTGAGTGTGACCCTGCGTAGAACCTCCATTTGGGGATCTGCATGGGACCGAGAGGTCACCTCAGACCAAAGCGGCCATCATAGCACTCAACACTGGCTATACATTTGAAGGATCTTGGTAAATATTTGTTGTCTATAATCATCTGCTCAAAATAATAGCTGTGGAACTCTTGGGTGATGTCTGTTTGTTTCCATCCTGCCACACAATCCATTTTCTCTTCCATAAGTAAAAAAATATTTATAAAACATTAGTTCCAATTTTGATAGAATATATCAAAATAATTCTTATAGCATGAACATCTTTGAATATTTTAATAAAATAAATCATTTCCTGAATGTGAAGTGCATAGTCTTAGAAATAAGCAATGAAGACAGAACTCCCAGCAGACAGCTTTTATAAAACTGTCTATTTGGTAAAGGTTATTTATATAATGAAATCTTTAAAAGCAGGAACAAAGAGAAACATCAAATTAACTGGATTTAAAAACAAAGCTACAAATATTTGTTTTGTGATATCTTGCCTGATGTGCATGCAATCAAGGTTGCACATAATTCTTTAGAGTCATCATTCCCTCCACTATAAATTGGGTCTGCCAACAACTTTTTCCTCCCTCCCTCCCTTCCTCCCTCCCTTCCTCCCTCCTCTCCTTCTTGCCTTCCTTCCTTCCTTCCTTCCTTCCTTCCTTTGGAACTCAAAGAACATTTGCGCTTGTGAAAGGGAGCTAGGACTCTTGGGCCCCACCTGGACCATGCTGTGAGTTAATGGAGAGGGGAAGGCAGCCCTTTGCTCTCAGCTACCTCTTCCTTCTCCTGAACTCTCAAGACCCTCTAGCAGAGTCCCAGATTCCAGCTTAAAGGATAGAAGTGGCCTGAGTCACCATCCAATGAAAATTCTATGGTCAGTGTTTTTGTGCTATTCTTTTGGGTCAATAAAACAGCTTCTTTTTCCCATGGGATAAATAGAAAGAAAACTGTATTCGAAAAATAATCAAATAAAAAATAAAAATATAAATCAATTAAAAAAAACAGCTTCTTACTGCAGAGGCAAACTGCTCAAGCTCACACTTGGTGGGGAGTGAGGGGGCAAGTATTCAAGTCGTGGTCTTAAGACTCCCAAGCCAGTGCCCTTTCCATGAGCCACAGATGAGCCAAGAAAATCACACCACCAGCATGGTTGTTGACAGACTGTGACTTCATGTCCTTCTGTATCACAAGGCTGCTCAACCACTGCACTTGGGACCTAACAATGCTTGTTGTAGGGGACTGTCCTGTATACTGTAGGGTATTTAACAGCATCCTGGCTTCTACCCAGTAGAAGTCAGTTGCATCCTTCCTCAAGCTGCAATAACTAAAAGTGTTGCCCAACATTGCTAGATTTCACATGGAGGTGGAGGAAAAAAACCATCCCTGGTTGAGAACCACATAGCTATGTGTGTGTGTGTGTGTGTGTGTGTGTGTGTGTGTGTGTGTGAGATGTGATTATTTTACAAATAAATATTCATGATTCATTTCCTCACCCCCTAGTAAAAGAAAACAAAGTAGAATTTCTGCAGATACAGAAATCCTCCAAAGCAATCTTCTGGCTTTTGGATGCTTGTTATGCCTTTCCTGCTTTCCTTTAAATTTCAGGCACACTCGCCAATGTTGCTTGTTGTGATAGGTTTACTCTATTTGTATAACATCATAGCTTTTTATTTTATCTCTGATTACCTTTCTGCTATGCACTAATACAAAATGTAAAGTACCCTCATAGAAGATAGTAGCCATTCGAAAGCAGAATTTTTACTGATTAAGGGATTTTATTTTATTTTTTAATTAATTTATTTAATTGTTCAAGTACAGTTTTCTGTCTTTTACTCCCATCCCAACCCTCCCCCCCCTCGTGCTCCCCACCTCCCTCCCATTTCCACCCCCCTTAGTTGTTGTCTATGTGTCCTTTATACTTGTTCCTGTGAATCCTTCCCCTTTTCCTCTGAAATTCCCTCCCCTCTCCTCTCTGGTCCCTGTCAGCCTGTTCTCTATTTCATGATCTTTGGTTATATTTTGCTTGCTTGTTTGTTTTGTTGTTTAGGTTCCTGTTAAAGGTGAGATCATATAGTATTTGTCTTTCATCGCCTGGCTTATTTCACTCAGCATAAAAAAAATACATGCTTTTCATCTTTACCAGAATCAGGATCTGTATTTGTAAAAACATTGGACAACCAGGCCTGACTTGTTTCCAGGGTCATAGTGGTGAACCCAACACAGACATGCCAGGTGAAGGACTAGATAAAAATGAGTTAACATTGGTATGATTCCTGATTCATGGTTTGCATAAGGTCAAATGACAAGTTTAATCGATTGTTAAAATATTTTTTCAACTGGTTATTTTGAAATCATGTTGAGATAGACAGGGTTTTTCTTCTAACCCTTTAAGTTAACCTTTCTGAAACTTCTAATTTGTTGTTGTGAAGACATGTACAGTGTTGAAATACAGTCAGCTTTCCTTTTTAATGCCCCAAGTTGCCCTTCCCTTTAAGTCAACATATTAGTTGACATGTAAATTACCCCTTTTGAACATGTTTTTCAAAATGGACACTAACAGCACCCAAGGATTAAGAAGCTATAGTTTCCTTCCAGTGTCACATTGGGTGTGAGATGACTTTGTAGCTTATGGCTCTGAAGAGCAGACATTTGATTTGTAGTGCTCCCTGATGGAATGACAGACAAGGCCTTACCTTTGGGAATAGTGATCTGACAGCTCAGGTCACAGTCCTGCTGCAACTGATAAAAAGCCACTTCCTGCAACCGGGCTCGCTCCAGCTCTGAGAGACTCTGGATGGGGACTGACCTTAGACGCACACTGCGGCCCGACATGCTGTTCCAGGTGAAATCACCCTGCAGACCAAGGAGAAAAACAGCAAGAGTTACACAGTTCATGAATATCTCACAAATCTCATTCCCTCTCTTAGTCAGTAATAAAGTTAAGCAAACTTCACCTTTTTGTTCCAAAATTGGCTCTCAATCCCTAATATCAAATCTACTCCTAGTTAACCATAGATTTTCTCAGTCAGTTGCAAAGATCAGTTTCGAGAGCCTCCTGGGTCATCTGATCCCATATAATGATGCATCCTAGGCCAAAGAAAACTATGTGGAAAGGTGCTTTGAGGGTCCTACATCCTGTCTTTTATGGAAACTTTTTGGTTTTGTGCTCAGTAACAGGGAAAAATGTTGCTAATTGGCCAGGATGAATAGCAAGGTGATATAGCAAGGTGAATGTGTACTGATAGGCTACAATGTACCAGTGACTGCACCAAGGGATTTTTAGTTATACCCTCCAACAACCTTATGAAGGGGTTACCACTTTTGAACCTCTCTAATATAATATTTAGTAATATAATAACATAATAATATAATCTAGTATACTTATAGTATATAATATATATTTATGATACATTATAAAATATGTATATAGATGCTCCTCAACTAACAATGGGATTACATCTCAATAAACCCATTGTAAGCTGAAAATATCATAAGCTAAAAGTGCATTTAATACACCTAACATATTGAAAATCATAGCTTTGCCTAGCTTACTTTAAACAAGCTCAGAATACAATATCAAAAAAATGCTAGCAACAAAGTACACTGTACAGTACTGTTGTTTACCCTTCTGATCCCATGGCTGACTGGCAGCTGTGGCCACCACTGCCCATCATCATGAGAGGGTATTGCACTGCATATCACTAGCCCAGGAAAAGATCAAGATAGAAAATTCGAAGTATGGTTTGTACTTTAACACCATCATAATGTCAAAAAAATCTTAAGGTGAACCATAGTAAATCAGGTACTGTCTCTCCTTATGATACAGTATATTATTATAGTAATATATAGTAAATATAATATAATATAATATAATATAATATAATATAATATAATATAATATAATATAATATAAATTGAGGCTTGGAGAGGTTAAGTAATTTCCCCTATATCATAAAATTTACAAGATTTGGAACCAACCAAGATTCAAGCTAAAAACGTTAATGCCTTTGAATCCTATGCAAAACTGTAAACTGTGAGTTTATATTTACAGCACTCTAATGAGATATTTTGATTGTAATAAGTATTGAGGTATGATCAATAAGAACTGCATATATTTTTAGAGACATGAGACATTTGCTGATCAAACAATCCACATCAAAGAATCAAAGCAGTTCTGGCCAAGACGGCAGCATAGAAGCAACAGTTTGGGTGTTCCCATAGAATAACAACAAAAACAAAAACCCAGAATGAAATAAAAACCAATTCTGTAATTAAAAAAAGATTCAAAGCAAAGATTCCCACAATTGTGACTGCATTTATGTGTATGCACACACACCTTTGATGTCCACTGGGAGTGAATGGCTCTACTCTTGATGTAGACAGTGAGAAAGTAATGGCCTACAAAACAATACTTTACAATCCTCTGAGACCCAATGTCTTTTTATTGAAGGCAACTTCCTATGAATTACAGATAGCAACTAGGGCACAAGAGCATTGAAAAATTACCTATTATTTCATCAAAAATCAAGAAAAGTTCCAAAAGAAAGAAACAGTGCTAGCCACCACAGGCACTGTCAAGGATTTGTGGTGAATGTGTGGGAACACTTAAGGAATCCCATAAGACTTCCCATCCTCATCACTCACCTTTAGAAAGGGAGACAAGAGGACTTCTGCCAAGATGGAGGCATAGGTGGATATGCAGTGCCTTCTCACACAACCAAGTTTAGAGACAACTAAATATTAGCAACAGAAAACACAGCCAGAACACAGAAAATTGAACTTTTCCGAAGTCTGTTAACAACAAATTCTTCAGCCTGACCGGTAAGGGGCGAAACCAGCAGCTGGTGGAGCAGGGTTGCACAGGAAAACTCGGTCAGAGGGACTCAGGCGCACGGAATCCAGGTGCAGGGTTGGACCCAGCGAGCGACCAAGCAAGTGAACTGCGGGGGAAACAGCGAGGGAGCAGGGCTGCGGGTTGACTGTGGTCGCGCATTTGTGCACGGATAGACAAGCGAGGGAGTGGGCGACTGGACCGGAACCCAGCGGGTCCCCACAGCAGGTGGCAGGGAGGGCGCCTCCATTTCCCTGCCCTGACCCCACCTCCACATACAGCGTCATAACCCCGCCACTCTGAGTGGCCTGGCCCTGGTGATCCACCTAAGGCGCTCCTCCTCACCCAGCAGCGCGGAATAGCACAGGGGTCGCCATTTCCCCGCTCTGACCACGCCTCCACATACACGTCACAACCCAGCGACCTGGGAGTCCAAGACGCAGCTCCTCACACTTAAAGGGCCAGAACAGACCAAAAATGGCTCAAGAAGATCTCAAAGCCCCAGAGCCTATAAATCTAAGTGATGAAGAAATAGCAAAACTCTCAGACACACAGTTTAAAACACTGGTGATCAGGATCCTCACAGAACTGGTTGATTATACCGACAAATTAGACAAATATATGAAGGCGAAACTAGTTGAAATGAATGGAATTGCACAGGACACCAATAGCAATGAAAAGGAAACTGGGACTCAAATCAATGGAGTGGACCAGAAGAAAGCAAATAATGGCCAAACAGAAAAGAGTCAAGAAGCAAGAATTCAAAGAAATGAGGAGAGTCTTAGGAACATCCAGGACATCTTTAAACGCTCCAACATCCGAATTATAGGGGTACCAGAAGGGGGAAAGGCACAGCCACCAGTGGAAAACTTATTTGAACAAATAATAAAGGAGAATTTCCCCAATCTGGCAAAGGAAATAGACTTCCAGGAAATCCAGGAAGCTCAGAGAGTCCCAAACAAGTTAGACCCAAGAAGGAACACACCAAAGCACATCATCATTACATTAGCCAAAATTAAAATGAAGGAGAGAATCCTAGAAGCAGCAAGAGCTAAGGGGACAGTCACCTACAAAGGAGTGCCCATCAGACTGTCAGCAGATTTCTCAAAAGAGACCTTACAGGCAAGAAGGGGCTGGAAAGAGGTATTCCAAATCATGAAATCCAAAGACCTACAACCAAGATTGCTCTATCCAGCAAAACTTTCATTTAGAATGGAAGGACAGATAAAGTGCTTCTCAGATAAGATCAAATTCAAGGAGTTCATCATCACCAAGCCCTTATTATATGAAATGTTAAAGGGACTTATCTAAGAAAAAGAAGTTAAAGAAACATGAACAGTGAAAGGACAACAAACTCACAGTTATTAACAACCACACCTAAAACAAAAGCAAACTAAGAGGACAGCTAGATCAGGAGTGGAAACATAGAAATGAAGATCTCAAGGAGGGTTAGCAAGAGGGGAGTGGGAGGAGGAGAAGGGGGGAGAAGGTACAGAAAATAAGTAGCATAGACAGTAGATAGAAAATAGATGGGGGGGCAAGAACAGCATGGGAAATATAGAATCTAAAGGACTTGAGACACATGGTCATAAACTAAAGGGGGGTAATGGTGGGGATGGGGGGTAGGGTGGAGGGGAATGAAGGGGGGAATAGAACAACTGTGACAGCATAATCAATAAAAAAATTTAAAAAATAATGAAACAAACAAGCAAGCAAAATAAAAACAAATACACTGAAACAAAAAAATAAACTCTATCACAATAAATTTATAAAAAAGAAACAAACAAAAAAAAACTGTACTTACAAAAAAAGGTGGAAAGCTGAATTTGGCCAGTGGGCTGAAGTTTGCCAGCCTCTGAATCATAGCTTACAACAGAAATAAACCAAGCTCTAGAAGACACATTTTATTTTTATTTACTACATCCTCCTGGTTAATTAATTCCAACAAAATTGAATAGACACCTAATACAGGCTAAGAACAGTACTAGACTTGGGACTATCAAAATGACAGCAGAGCCCTTTCCTTAAGGAGTTAAACTTCGGTAGAAAGAATATATGCAGTTTATGACACACAGAGATTGTGATAGTAGAAGTTAGTGCCAAATGCAGTGGGGAAAAAGCTTTCTGGGGGATCAAGAAAGGTTTTATAGATAAGGCAGTATTTAAATGGAGACTTGAAAGTTGAATAATATGGGTAAGGTTTTGCCTGGTGGAAATGCAGGGCTTTGGCCAGTGGAAATGCAACAGTGGAAAAAACAGTGGTTTCCAAGGCAAATGATTTCAAGAGAACAGATTTCAAGAGGCTGGGAAGAGGAAAAGAGCAGGAGGCAAAGCCATGTAGAATCCAGGGCCAGATCCTGGAGGGCTTTCTCTGCAGACATTGCAAAGTAGATTGGATATTACTCAGCAGGTGACAGCTAGCCATCAAGGAAGTCATCTCCAGTAAGAGAGAAACATGCTCAGATTTACATATAGGAAAGAAGATTGGAAACAAATTTCTATAGGAATTGAGGGAGGGGCCAAGCCGAAGATGTAGATATCAGAAAAGATGCTGGGCTAGGTAAGATGATGATTTAAATCTGAACAGACAGGGAGATGCTCAGACCACACAGATGCTTGGGGAGAAATTGGATGCAGGGGTTGAGTGGGAAAGAAATAATCTAGGATGACTCTTAAGTTTCTGTCGTGAGCAACTGGGAGGATGGAACACTAATTACCAAGATAAGAAAAAGCAGAAGGGAATTAGGTTTTCTGGGGAAAGAAGAAAAATGTTCAAGTTTTGACATTCTTAAAATGATGATAATTTTTTAAATTTTTTTAATTTTAATTTTTGATTTTAGAGAGAGGGGAAGGGGCGAGAATGAGAGGGAAAGAAACATTGTTGTGAGACAGAAATAGATTGGTTGCCTTCCATATGTGCCCCTACCAGGGACCAAACCTGCAACTCAGGCATGTGCCCTGACTGGGAATGGAACCAGTGACCTTTTGATTTGTGGAATGAGCACCATGACAATAATCTTAT